AAGATCTTATGAGTGCATTACAACTTCTACAGAAACAAACTTCACTTTTTCAGATTCCCTAGAGCTAAACTCGATAGGCCGGTAAAATGAGGAAGAAAACCATTTATGGCACACGGGCGACAATAGGAAACTACACATACTCATAAAACCATAAACTCCCATTCTTCCTACACCTTAAGAACTACTCCCTCTGTATCAGGGAAAATGCAATTATTGTTTCCTTAAAGTCAATCTAACTCAAATTTGACCAAATAAATCTAAGTATCACTATTTATTTATGTTATCTAATAATTATCATTAGATTTATCGTGGAATATATTTTTGTAGTATTCTTATTTGTAGTCATAAACATAAATATTGATGTTGTTTTCTACTTTTGACCGTCCAAACCTAGAATTGCATTGTTTTAGGGGTAAAGGTATAGGGAAAACAATTAGACACCAACCCTACATAGAACCTTTTGGTATTTTATTAAGTAACAAAAATCTCAGCAGAGAAAACTAAAGCAGGGCCGAATCACCAAAAAAAAAAAAAAAAGCAGGGCATTAGATTTTCTGAAAGAGCGCACCGCACACTGGAGCGTTCATCAACACTCTTTTCCCAAACCGATGACTCCAATCATTGCAATTGCAAGAGGACACAAATTGACCTACCCCCAGGTAGCATATATATATGCCCTAAATACACATCAAAATAGCAAGAGCCCTGTCATCGAGAGCGCGTGATGATCAAAATCACTTGAGACACTAGTAGGCATACCATTATGCGCCGCTCGCAAAGAATCAGAGAGGAGCACCAAAATCGACAACAGAAATTAAGCCCTTCCGAGGCAATGAAAAAGAATCAATATGGAAAGGGTGGTACTAGAAGATGACCTTTTTGGTTCCTTGCGGGCTCGCGGCTGCCGTCGAAGAGACAACAGTGAACGAGCTCACGGCCGGAGGAAGGGGAAGACGCGCGCACGGGGATTTCCATCGCCCTCTCGGTGGCTCTCCGCAGCTCGCGGATCGGAATCAGGTCTATAAGACAGGCGGTGCGCAAGAATCGTCCCGCTCTGGCCCTCTGTTTTCTTTTTTCTTTTCTTTTTTTGCCAGAAGAACTCTGTTTTCTATTTTCCCACGTAGATCCGGCCCAATGCCTGTTTTGTCTACAAAAGCTCACTCAAATGCATGTTACGCACTTTCTAAATTCTTATTTAGAGAGCAATTTAATAAGATCACTTTCTATATTTATTCCATATTTCAATAATTTTTCTATATCTTGTTCAACACTTTGAAAAGAACGAGCTCTGCTCTTGACCTTTAGAGAGAAAAACCAAGAAGAAGCGGATGAAAATGTTTGGAAATCTAAATGAAGAAGCTACTGGAAGTGTTTTTTTTTCACCAAAATTTGTATTCATGTCAATATAGAAGATATAAAGAGATTCTACGAGAATTCCTTTTATTTATCTATTGTTTTCTCTATTTCTTTATATTTATCTTTCTTTTTCTATATTTCTTTCTAAGTGGATTTTATTTTTTTTGTTTTATTTTATTTTATTTTATTTTATTTTTCATCATTTATATTTATTTTATTTAAATCGTTCTTTCTTTCTATACATGGTGTATTTGTGAGATGTACCTAGTGTATTTTTAGTTGTTTGTGTACTTCATTTCAAATTATAAGATATTTTTACCTTTTTAGATATCTTTGTTTTTGCTATATGATGTTCATATATTTTTTATTGTGCATTTTATGGATATTTTGGGTTATATACAGCTAGTGTCGATCAAATGTTTCATAATATATTTTGTCTATTCACACACAGTAAATTGATATCCATAAGATGTTCCATGGTTTACTATAATTTTACTTTACACATTTCTTTTTATCACTATTTTCCTTTTTATTCCATTCCATGTTTTGTTTTTTTTTTTTTTTTTTATATTTTGTCTTTTCTCCCATTTGTATTTTTATTTTGTACAAATTTCATAGCACTCTTTGATGGATCCATGATCTTATTCATGCAGTAACCATAGATGTTTTATGGTGTATTTTAAGTTATTTTATGGCATTATTTAACTGTTCTCATCATACATGAAATGTTCTCATTTTTCAAATACTAGACATAGAACATTTTCTTGTGAATACATTACTTCCTGAATCAAGAATATTGCCTTGCTTAACAAAAAAAAAGTTCTATCTTCATGAGAAACATGATCTCCAACAAAATTTTATCTAAATATATTCAAGTTAGGTTTTCATTTGAAAGGTTTACTGTAAAAAAATATTATCGGAATCGAAATTTAATTTGTATGCTCGGTTTGGCAACAATGATTTTATAAAAATTTCAAAAGATATCATCGAGTGCATATGTCAGTAAATTTGGCATATGTATGGGGTCGATGCCACTAAACAGCGAACGTTCAATGATCAGTCAGCCCTCATGACATTCTATTTTCGGCAAAAAAAATTCTGTAACTTCCCTTTTTTGGAAAGTTTTTCATTTTGGCAAAAAAAAATCCGCAACTTTCTTTCTTTTGAAAGTTATAAAGTTATACGCATAACTTTTACGTATAGCTTATGGGACAAACTTCGTATAACTTATATATATAACTTATACACATGACTTCGACGTATATTTTCAACGTAACAAAGTTACGCACATAACTTATATATATAACTTAGTGCGTGACAAAGTTAGACACATAACTTTTATGTATAATATTTTGTGAAACAAACTTATCAACATGATTTCTTAGAAAGCTAAAAAAATTATACACAAAACTTTATGTATAACTTGTTTGTATAACTTAGATGTACAACTTAATGGATGACTTAGATGTAAAGTTGGACGTCTAAGTTATATTTAAGAACTTAGATGTATAAATTAATATCATAACATATTAGTAGAATATGAAAACTATGTATGAAAATAACTATGTAGTATAGTTTGTTTGTCTATTATTTTACGTAAAAACTATATCAAAAAAGTTATGATAAAAATGGTGATGAGTTCTTGTTCTCTAAAATGTTATATTGTCAAAGTTATTAGTATAAGTTGTAGAAATAAGTTATGTTTCGTAATATATAAGTATAACTTTGTTACTTTCTAAAAATGGATCCACAACTTTTTTCCAAATAAGAAAAGTCGGGGCAGCAGCTGATTGTTTTCGCTGGATTCGAATCCAGTGAATGACCGGCGGAATGGAATTGACATATGGGGTTGGTCTGGTTGGCGAGGTAACTACCAAATAGTCTGACCCCAATCACCATCGATTTCTTGCCCTTGTGTGAGGTTTTTCAATTGATTGATGATTGCCCTTGACCCGTCCGCCGGACCCTGGCGTGCCGCGCGCCCGGTCCGCTCGCCACCGGCCGTACAATATAAAACACTTGCAACATGAAAAACATTAGAATGTAACATACGTCTGAAAGTAGATGAAACATATAGAACACACACTTGCAACATGTGTGTGAAACACACGAAACATCCAGATTTGTAACTTGCAACATGAAACGACTTGCTGCAACATAAGACTGAAACAACTAAAATATTTGGAACATACTATTGCAACATATGTGTGAAACGTATGCAACATCTAGATAAAAAAGACTGCAACAGACAGATGAAACATTTTAAATAAAATCTTGCAACGTGCCTTTGAAACACTTGCAACATATGCAATATGTGCAATATCCCACGATCTACTTTTGGAATATCAAGGTGAAATAATTGCAACATACATCTAAAACGTCTGAAACACTTGAAACATATGCAACATAAGGGAGGGAAGGCCGGGCCAGTCGATTCTGGCCGTCGGGGTGGGAGCCGTGGCGCGCGAGCACCACCAACACCGGCCACGCTCGTGGGTGCCCTTGGCTCGGTCGGGGAAGACATGAGGCGCCACAGCACGTGTGCCCCAACGACCATGGCGTGGTCAGTGACATGCCCAACGGCGATGGGCGACGGACGAATGACGAGGGAGCGAGCGACGCAGATGAGTGCCACGTAAGTGAGCGGCACAGGGAGCGAGGGCGCGCGGCGCGGCCGGCGATTGGCGGAAGGGCATGGCGCGGCAGCTCGGCAAGCGTGCTCTGGGGAAGGGGGCGGACAGATGAGCAGTCACGCCGAGTGACGCATGTGACTACCACGCAGGTGAGTGGCGTAGGGAGCAAGGGCGCGTGGCGCGGCCGGCGATGGGGAAAGAAAACGGCGCGGCAGCCCGATGAGCGCGCGCTGGAGAAGGGGGCGGATGGATGTGCAGCCATGCGACTTTGGACCGAGCGGATAAGCATGAAGGAGTAGGTCGTGGGCTTAGGTGGGACGGACAGATAAACACAAGATAATGGGGATTTGAATTTTTTTTTTCTGCTCCCGGGGAGCCACGCATAGTCACGGTGCAGGAAGTATTTCCGTATAAACAGAAGGAAGCGCCCTACTCCTAAGTGATGGGCCGTCCTGGGCCTTTCCGCGTGCTTCGTTGGGCTAGATTACTGGGTAGGACCGTAGGAGGTCTCAGAAGTCAGAATCGCCAAGGCAGTGAAGCTGCCTTCAACACCACCGCCGCGGCGCCGCCGCCTCTCACCTGCCCGACCAGCCGCCGCCGGATCCTGCCTCACCAAACACCGACCCCATCGCCGTCACGGCGTCACCCTCCTTAGTCAGGATGTTCGTTTGTTTCTTCTGTTCTTGGTGAGTAATCCCAGTTCCTAGCTTAGCTTGGATAGATTCCCTTGCTCTGACAGCTAGCTGTTACAGTAGCTCTCTTCTCAATCAAAACCAAATTGAGGATTACTGTGCTGCGTGGTGCCCTTCTAACTCGATCCAATCCATCCACCGCAGAGGATTATTATTCAACTAGGTTGTTCTTCAGAGGCAGCGCGCAAGATCGACATTGGTTGCGACTACAGGAGTTGTTGCTTCAGCGCAATCAAGCTGCCGGGGCAGTTTGTTTTCCAGAATTATTGGGGGGGATTGAACTGAGCTGCCGCGCTCCCGCGCTGATCCCTCCCCTGCCATGGCGTGCGCCGCTGACAGTATCAGAGGCCCTTTCATGCTCTCTGCAAGGCACCGCACCGATGTGCTGGCCACTAATAACTTGTGCATTGGCTTGAAGTCTTCGGTGTCTTACTCTGTAGCTCAGCGGTGGAGCAGCAATTGCTCTTCCGTTACGATGCGGCATGCCACATCCCATTGTCCCTTGATTGTTGGGGCTTCAGCAAGGTGGCGCTCTAACTCGAAAGCTTCATCAACGAAGTGGGCACTGCTTCTTCTGGTATATTATAAGACAGTGGATTATTGTTATTTTGTTATCTTCAGCTCAGCAATCTGAAATGAAGTGTGTTAATGTAAATGAAAACCCAAGAGCAAGCTGGTTTGACGCCTGTTTATTGCCTTTTCCCCAGATGAGAGGATAACTGTATTGGTCATTGGTGGTGGAGGCCGTGAGCACGCTCTTTGTTATGCCTTGAACTGCTCCCCATCTTGTAGTGCAGTTCTATGCGCCCCTGGTAATGCGGGTATTGCTCAGTCCAGGGATGCAACTTGTATCTCTGATTTGGACATCTCCAGTAGTGCTGATGTTATCTCGTTCTGTCGCAAGAGGGGAGTGGGAATGGTTGTAGTGGGTCCTGAAGCCCCACTTGTTGCGGGTCTTGTGAATGACCTCGTGAAAGTTGGGATACCAACCTTTGGCCCTTCATCGGAGGCTGCAGCGTTAGAAGGATCAAAGGACTTCATGAAGAAGCTATGTGACAAGTACAATATCCCAACAGCCAAGGTACTTCCTATTACAATTTATGCTGACTGTTAAGCTTAAGCCCTATAGGCTAGTCTTGGTCTGACTACAGGGTTTTGTTTACGAAAGATGGCTGCATATAGGTGGCTGCATCTGCAGGTTAAGAAATGAATCAAATATACCATTTTAGGTGCTGTCATAGAGACACTTTGTTTTCATACAATTGCTAGCCCTGCTCATGTCAAATAGTCACATACACTATGAGTAATGAGCTCTTATTTTCCCTGGGCATCTCTGATTTTCTGGCTGAACTATATTAAAGAAACATTCGTAATTATATTTGAAATTGAAGTTACTGTGTTGCTCGGAAGTCGGAAAACAGAAAATGTAAAGTCAGTATACAAAAAAAGGAGGAAAACCTAGCTCATTCATTTGTATGTATTGATAATTTCAGATGTTAAGCCATACAAACCTTGCTAGTCTGAGCACTTATGTTCTCTACTTCTCTCTTGTAGTATCGCACATTCATGGATGCTGTGGAAGCTAAACAATATGTCAAACATGAAGGAGCCCCTATTGTTGTTAAAGCTGATGGACTGGCCGCTGGAAAGGGTGTGGTTGTTGCAATGACTTTGGATGAGGCATTCGAAGCCATAGACTCTATGTTGGTTGACGGCTCATTTGGTTTTGCTGGTTCACGGGTTATCATTGAAGAATTTCTAGAGGGTGAAGAAGCATCTTTCTTTGCATTGGTAGATGGTGAAAATGCTTTGCCTCTTGAATCAGCACAGGATCACAAAAGAGTTGGTGATGGTGATGTTGGCCCAAATACCGGCAGTATGGGTGCATACTCCCCTGCACCAATAGTGACAGATGAGCTCAAACGCATAGTCATGGAAAGTATAATTATCCCTACCGTTAAAGGCATGGCAGCCGAAGGGTGCAAGTTTGTTGGTTTATTATATGCTGGACTTATGATTGAGAAGAAATCTGGGCTGCCTAAGCTTATTGAGTACAATGTAAGATTTGGTGACCCAGAATGCCAGGTTAGTTACCCATCTCGAAATCTATTATTCATTTATGTATGTTTACAGGGCAAGAAGTTTCACAATATTAATTGTCAAAAATAAGATCAAATCAAAAGGTTCATGCAGTTTAACTCCTGTATAGTAGAGTGTTGGAATGCATCCAGCAAGAATGTAGTACAGACAAAAAAAGTATCAAACTAAATATCTGCAGCCACAAAACAAGGACGTTAAAAGAGCTCTGCTGAATGAAAAAAGAAAGAAAGAGATCATCTGCTTCCAGGATCTTTTGGAATAAAATCATCTGATTGTTTAATAGACTTTCAAAGTTTCAATCTAACGGACCAATGCATTATAGTTTATATACATATCTAAATTTGATTTTTGCAATTTTGTTTTTGGTTTACATGACAACAATATAATCAAGGCATTTTCATTGGACAACAGAATGCAACGAATTTTGCATATCTTTCCAACAGAGTCTATCCTTGTGCTGCACTTTTGTGCTGAGATTTGCTCTCTAGGTCTGCCTCCAGTAGTTCACTCTATTTTTTTTTTAACGAACGCTCACTCAATTTTCTTCCTGTGGAGAAGCTGAATAGACTGCATTACTGCAGCCCTGTCGTTTCTGTGTTACACAATAGCATAGTGGAGTTAGCCTAGGTGATCAGAGATATGATGTACAATCTGAAAAAGGAGATACAAGGTATAGCAAAAACAATGATGGCAGAGCCCAGTGAGTAATTGCAACACGTACCTATTTTAGATCTGCCTATTCAGGATTAATCTTCTAGCCATTATACTGTTCCATATTATTTGTTTAATTAGTATTAACTACCATAGTTTTCAAGGAAAAAAAAGTTTTTGGTTCTCCTCTTTGGTAAGCTCGGCGCTTACCATTGACGGGGTAGCTTGTAATGTTTCTCTGCTTCCTCTTAATGAAATACGTGCCTCAGTCGCGAAAAAAAAAAGTTTCCGAGGAAAAAAAGTATTAACTACCATAAAGTTTCTGTAATTCATGTAATTGTGGAAACTCCAATATTTTACTCTATCTGCTGTAAAAAGTTCCATTTTTGTTTTTTTACATCAATGATAGTCTATTCGGTTTGGCCAGTTTAGATGGCCCTGAACCCAGCAGTGGGACTATGCTGATGCCCGGTAGCTGCACCAGAAGGGCAGGGACAGATGAAATACTAGGAAGTAGGAACTATGATTCTTGCTTAATGAGAGGAGATACAGTACATAGAACAAGTTGACCCTTAAGGAACTGATTTCTGAAATTAAGGAAACAAACCAATATAATTTTTACCTCTAAATAAGAACAAATCTTAAGTCTACTGGAACTGTAAACACGGGGGATGAAAAGTACTACCTATCAAAATTAAATCTAAAAGTATGTCAGAAAAAAAGTATGATTGTTATTTTTTATCAGGAATAGCTGTTTATCTAAGTACATAGGAACTCAATTGCAGGCCAGCATCACTTCAGATTGCTATTGTTGTAACTAAAAATGCTAATGCATTGCTACCTTGTAATTATAATGTTCAATGATCTTTATAGAAAATTTCCTTTCCTTTCGTTGTGCTTGTCTAATACATCTCAGAATTATGTACTTGGCGTAAGGGCGTACCCAGTGCAGAGAGCTCCCCTCGCCTGTGCAATGCGAGGAGACCATGACTCGAACCCGGGACCTTCCGGTCACAGGCGGTCAGAATTATGTACTTGACCTGTGAAATATTATGTCCATGATATTCCAATTAGGCCCTGTTTGGATACAAAGTATTTTTGGAGTTTTAGAAAAATACCATTGTTTTGTGAAATACTTTGGTTTTAGAGTGCAATGAAGTGTTTGTGTGCAACAAACTTTATGGTTTTGAATACCATGGTATAGCTGAAAACTGTAGTCTTTTTGGAGTTTTAAAAACTCCACTCTAGACCTCTTTTTTCTAAACCACGGTTTTGCACATCAATGGTTCTAAAACTACAGACTACAGTTTCTTGATACTATGGTTTCTTCATACTATGATATCCAAACAAGACCTATCCTTTTCTCTACTAATTTGTATTCCTGTCATTATAGGTTCTGATGATGCAATTAGAATCTGATTTGGCACAAGTTCTGTTATCCGCCTGCTGGGGAGGATTAGGCAATGTTTCGCTAACCTGGTCACCTGAAATGGCAATGGTGGTTGTAATGGCAAGCAAGGGGTACCCTGGCTCTTATAAGAAGGGTACTGTAATAAAAAACCTAGACAGGGCTGAGCAGGCCTCTCCATCTGTCAAGATATTCCATGCTGGGACAGCACTAGATGAAGATGGCAATCTTGTCGCCGTTGGAGGCCGAGTTCTTGGTGTCACTGCCAAGGGCAAGGACATCGAAGAAGCAAGGGCAAGAACATATAATGCAGTAGATGCAGTTGATTGGCCAGAAGGGTTCTTCAGGTGTGACATTGGTTGGCGAGCACTGAGGCACAAGCAAGTGGCTAACTACCCATGACTATGGGGTTTTCATAGAGAACCACAAATAAGGTGAGCTTGTAGTGTTACAAGTAATAAAAATGGAAACATGTAACCTTCACTGTTTTTGGTTGTGGAATGACAAAGTATTGCTGGTCAAACAGCAGCATGTTCAAATTTTAACACCTGCTGGTTTCAGTATTTGTAGATGTTTATAAACTGACCTTGTGTTCACAGTCCAGACAAACACTTGAGTGAAAACAGCACCATCTGAATTCTGACCAATTGTGTCTTCATTTTTCAGACAAGTGGATGTCCCAAATAATTGTGACATCTCCTACATGTTGTCCATTAAAATGTTAATGATACCTTTGCTTTTCATATTATGTACTGTACTCGTTGGACCAGCTCTATCATCAGAAAGTACAGAACAGAGATGCATACAACTTTACAAGAATATTGCTAACAACGACCCACTACAGCCGCATATAGCTACAGGAGAGATGAAAAAGGCCAATACAAACAGTTGATATGAAATTCCAGAGTGCGGCAGCTCTATCGGAAATATCCAAATCCTCTCGATTGGTTTATGGTGCAACGGCTTTCCCGGTGAGCGGTGACCGTGCTATCAGAGGTAATCAGGATATTCTCTCTTCGTTTTCATTGCTACATGAGCTCTTGCCATGTCAAGTCACAGTTAATTTGGCACTGTTTTTCCAGCTTCTTAGAGATCCATCATGCTGTCAATCCTGTTTGGTGAAATGACCAACTAAAGTACAAGGTGTTCCAGTAAGCATCTTTATCTCGTGTCTGTCTTCTCTCCCTTATAAAACTTGCAGCTTCTCTCTCTCCTTTAACTTTCATGATTAAAGCTACACATATAAGCGCGACGGTCGAACCGGTTTTCTCGTGTGAATTCTTTCTGGAGCAGCATGCTGACACTGCAACTCCTGACTGAAACCATGCTTATCATAATCTGTTCATGAACCTCTGAATTTTGTCTCAGTGGTTCAGTCTATCTCTGCTTCCATAAAAGTTGTGCGATTCAGTTGTCTAGCTAGCTTGTGTGCTTTAAGCGTTGGGAAGTGAGATGTTTTCAAAGACTGTCAAGTACTACCGCTCTTTTTTCGCACTTCTCTTTCATGCTTTCCCTGAAACCAAAGCTCCAGTCAAGAATCTTCCAACAGATGATCACACCACACCTGTTGCTGACAAAAAATGGCTCAAATAATACAAAAAGCTATGAACAAGTACCGGGGGTACTCATTAGACATAAACAAGGATTAGTGTAAAGGTGAGGAGCTAGCACTAGTAGAGTTGTAGTTGGACAATGGATGGTGGCTAAAGATTACCAGGAGATTACAAAGTAAGAAAGCTATGATGATGGAAGGGATGCTATTGTTGCATGCATCGGACAGCACAAACCCCTAGCTAGGTGATAGCATATGATCAGACCCTATACACCTTTGAATTGCTAGATAATGAACCAAAAAGAAAAGAAAAGAATTTGGAAAAAAAAGAGAGGGAAGAAAGATAAAAAAATAAAGTTACATGTCATTGATCCCCCCAGCTCTTGTCACACCATCTCCAATGTCGGCCGACCAACTTGTAGAACGTCGAGCTCCAATCTGCACTACATGCTGTAACTTTAGTCCTGCACGATGATGAGTCTTGTGTCTTGTAACAATGGCAGCAAACACAGGTGCCGTCAGGCCAACAGGTCCGGGAACAGCTTGTAGCAGTTGGCCGGCGGCGGCTCCTTCCCGCCGTCGTCGGGGCTGCAGCTCTCCTCCCCGCCCGGTGTCGGCGCCGCCGCAGCCGACGAGGAGGTGGACGGCGACGTCTGCGCGGACGACGACGCCGCGTGGCGCGGGAACTCGTCGGCGAGCGTCTGCACCACCTCCCGCATGGTGGGGCGCTCTACGCTGTTGTCCTGCACGCAGAGCATGGCGACGAAGAAGAGGTGCGCCACCTCGTCGGCGGGCGCGCCGGCAAGGCGGCGGTCCGTGATCCCGGCCACGGCCTCCCGGCGGCCGCCTGCCGTGACACGCTTGGCCCACTGCACGATGTCCACGCCTTCCCCGAAGTCCGGCCCCACGGGGCGGCGCCCCGTGATGAGCTCCAGCAGCACCACCCCGTAGCTGTACACGTCGCTCTTCTCGTCCACCCGCAGCGTGTACGCATACTCTGAAATGTTTTTTTTCTCAAATTAAATTAATATAAGCAGGTTATTTAAAGCAACAGTAACATGATCGTATTGTTCGTGTTAAAAGCAAGGATCCAAATCCAAGTGTATCTAGGTACGTGCTGTTTTTTAAACACGACTGCATGGTAGGCTCCCATGATGGATTTTGAATAGTGCATAAACTGGCTACTACTCCTACCAGTCTACCACAGCTGGTCCTGTGCATGGAGGACAAGACCTAGTAGTACACACCTACCACGCGGCAACGAATCCCAAGAGGAATGCCGAGCAGAGCAGCGTCAAATCCATTGGAATCTAAGAATCTTTCCCAAAACAATGCGCAAATCATCGCCAAATCCAAGGAAAATTCGTCGTCTGATCCGGATCAAGTGACTGCTGCCCGAATTAATCTTTGTCTAATACGCGTGCCCATGCCTGGGCTGCTGGCCAAGGCGATCCCAGCCAAATCGTATCTTTGTTTTTTGAAACGAGCCAAATCGTATCTTTGAGATAGCACGCATGAACCGGAAAATAAACTAGTGTATTGAAGCGAATGTCACTGTTACCAAAAGAGAGAGAGAGAGAGAGAGAGAGAAAGAAAGGGAAAAAGAAGTTCGTGGCTGCACGCATTAACAGTGGCGTATGCGATGCGCCTCTGCCGTTAAAAAAGCATGCTTGGCCCGTCTCCCTTTGGCGACGGACGTTGCATTGCATGGGGCAGGCAGGCAGGCAGGAGCACGCCGCTTTGGCGAAGCCCCCCATGCGGTCCGGGCGGAGGACCGCCGGACGACGACGCCTTTTGGGCTGGGTTCCTGCGTGCCGGTCAAAGATACAGCAGCTACGGAAAAAAACGCGAGTGGGTATTCTTGGACCCAAAAACTCTCGTCTCCTCAGTCCTCACAGCTGCTGTACAGACAGTGACGGCGTATGTGTACCTCCAATTTCGAATCGCGCTGGGTGGGTGGGTGGCCAAAGACATCGGACATCAGGGACCGCACCACCATGCAGGAGGACATGCATGCGTTCCAGGCTTCATTCAGGCCTTTAGCCATTGATGGCCTTTGGAGTTTGGTGGCAAGCCCGATGCGGCTCCTCTGCGGCCTCTGGACTGGCCTGAGCTGACCCGATCAGACCGGTTTGACGTGCCAGTCCCCTGCCAAGGGAGTACGTACAGTACACATGCGGTACACGGACACGGGAGTCCCGCCCCGACCCTGCACGCCCTGCCCCTGCGGGGCTGGCTGAGTGGCTGCCGTGCCGTGTCGTGTTGGCGCATATCGGCGTCGCGTGCCGTGCATGCATGACCGGCGAAGGCGAACGACGCCGCGGAGGAGGAGGCCCGGCCCACCGGGCCCACGGCCGCATCGTCCAGTCACCATCGGCGCTGGGTAGGGCGGCTAGGGAATTATTTCAATGCCGGGCCCACGGCTCCGTGCTGACGTGGCTGCAAAAACTGACTCCTAGTATGTGTGCGAGTACGTACTGTACTCGTACGTGTACGTGGCCTGCACCGGCACCCCCAGAAATCGGCTCAATCATTCACAATATTTTCGTGACGGGAAAAATGGATTATATACGCACGCTATTCAACTTGGTCTACGTTGGTCATGTGTCCTGCTATGGTGTGTATGTACAGTACAGGCGTGCCGGCCGGCGCGGAGGCAAGACATTGTCGCGTCGCGTCCCGATTGACCATTGACACCTTCACCTGCTGACACCACCACACCATTGACTTCTCCCTGAGCGCTGGGTCCTACACCTACGCCCATTCCCCCCACGGACGACAGACAACCCATCGTGCCACGTACGGTGCCACGTACCGATCAATCAAATCCTAACCGTCTGATTTACGAGCAGAGACGGACGGAAAATCGTACGTACCAGGGGCGATGTAGCCGTAGGATCCAGCGACGGCGGACATGCACTCGTCGGTGGCGCCGGCGCCGGAGCGGCGGAGGAACTTGGCGAGGCCGAAGTCGGCGACGCGGGCCTCCAGGTTGTCGCCGAGGAGGATGTTGTTGGACTTGACGTCGCGGTGCACGATCATGGGCGTGCAGTCGTGGTGGAGGTAGCACAGCCCGCGCGCCGCCTCCAGCGCGATCCGGTACCGCCGCTCCCACGCCAGGGACGCGCCGCGCTTCTTGCCGTTGCCGTGGAGCACGTCCCCGAGGCTGCCGCCGCCCATGTACTCGTACACCAGCACGTTCGCGTCGCGGTTCGTGCAGAACGCCAGCAGGCGCACGATGTTCCGGTGCCGGATGCTGCCCAGCGTCCGGACCTCAGCTTTGAACCCGCGGTCGTCGCCGGCACCCCCTTGTGCCTGCAGGCGCTTCACCGCGATCGCGCCGCCCGACCGGGTCCGCCCCGCGTACACGACGCCGGCGCCGCCGCGGCCCACCACGTTGCCGTCCTTCATGCACTCGATCACCTCCGCCACGCCGAAGTCCACCTTGTGGAACGCCGTGAACCACCACCGGCCTTCCCCGCCGCCGCCGCCGTCCACGCGGAACGACCGCGCGCGGAGCACGGCCGCCGCGGCGAACACCACGGAGCAGGCCAGCAGGCCCAGCGCCAGCACCAGTTTCAGCTCCCCGCCGCGCCGCGCCGTCGTCGTCGTCACGCCTTCCGTGTAGTTATTGCACGGCCGGCTCACCACCGGCCCGCACAGCCTCGGGTTGCCCGCGAACGCCGTCGCGTTCAGGTACGCCAGCTGCCCCGTGTCCGGGAGCTGCCCGGACAGGTCGTTGTACGAGAAGTCCGCCGCCGTGAGGCTGCTCATGGCGCCGATCGCCGCCGGGATCGCGTCCTCCAGCGCGTTCCGCGACAGGTTGAGGTAGTTCAGCACCCGGATGCCCGCGATTGCCTCGGGGATCGCGCCGGACAGGTTGTTCCTGCTGAGATCGAGGTACGTGAGCTCGCCGCACTGCCCGAGCGCTGCCCCCGGGACCGCCCCCGACAGCTGGTTGCCGCTGAGGTCGAGCTTCACGAGCCGCCGGAGCTCCCCGAGCTCCGGCGGCACGGCGCCGCCGATCCGGTTGTTGCTCGCGAGCAGCGTCTGCAGCGCGGTGAGGTTGGCCAGCGTGCTCGGCAGCGGGCCCGACAGCAGGTTGTTGGACACGTTGAGCTGCGCCAGCTGCGACGAAGAACTGGCGGACGCGCTCGGGTTCGACGGCACGGCGCCGGAGAGCAGGTTGTTGTGGAGCTCCAGCAGGCTGAGACGAGGCAGGTACAGCAGCCCAGCGGGGATGCTGCCGTTGAGGTAGTTCTGGCCGAGCCGGACACGGGTGAGGCTCGTGCACGAGCCGAGCGACCCCGGGATGGGCCCGAAGAGGAAATTGTTCATGAGGATGGCCGTGTGGAGCTGCCCCGACGCGCACAGCGTCTCCGGGATGACGCCGGTGAGGCGGTTTGACGACAGGTCGACGATCCGGAGCGGCGCGCTGGCGCCGAGCCCCGCGGGGACGCGGCCCGTGAGGTTGTTCATGAACAGCTGCACCGTCTCCAGGCGCGGCAGCGCGGCGATGAAGTCGGGCACCGGGCCGTGGAGCCGGTTCAGGAAGAGGTTGAACAGCCTGAGCGAGGTGAGCGACGCCAGCGAGCGAGGGACCTCGCCCGTGAGCGCGTTGTTGGAGAGGTCCAGCGCGGTGAGCGACGTGAGGTTGCCGAGCTCCGGCGGGATGGGCCCGGACAGCTGGTTCGTGTGGAGGAACAGCGCGTCGAGCGACGCGAGCGCGCCGAGCTCCGCGGGTACCCGCCCCGTGAGGCCGCAGTTGGAGACGTCCAGCACGGTGAGGCTGCGCAGCGCGCTGAGCGCCGGCGGGATGCCGCCGTCGAACACGTTGTAGTACCCCAGGTAGAGCTCCCGGAGCGTGGTGAGGTTGCCGAGCTCCGGCGGGATGCGGCCCTGCAGGTTGTTGCCGTTGAGGGACAGGTACTCCACCGCGGGCATCGCGCCGTACGCCGCCGGGATCTCGCCCGTGAAGTAGTTGCCGCCGAGGTCCAGGTACCGGAGCCTCGGCAGTCCCGCGACGCCGAGCGGGAGCGGGGACGAGAAGTTGTTGTCGTAGGCGTCCAGCACCTCGAGCGCGGGAAGCGACGCCAAGTCCCAGCCGCCGTCGAGGTCGAGCCCGCCGCTCAGCTGGTTCCCGGACACGTTGACGTGGCGCAGCGCCGGGAGCGGCGACGCGATGGCGACGGCGCCCACGATGCCGTTCCCGGCCAGCGAGAGGCTCTCGAGCGCGCCGAGCCCCGTCACGCGGACCGAGACGGGCGCCGCGCCGCTGGCGGACACGTTCATGTTGGCGATGTCGACGGCGACCACGCGCCCGGCCGCGCCGCACCGGACGCCCGTCCAGGCGCACACGGACCCGGCATTGGCCGCCGACCACGACCACAGCGCGCCCGGGCGGCAGCCCAGCGCGGCCTTGAGCGCGAGCAGCGCCATCGCGTCACCGCGCAGGTCGCCTGTCCCGTTCCCGTTCCCGTTCCCGTTCCCATTGCCATCGGCGGCGGCTGCATTGGTGGTGGACAGGAGCGCGAAATGCAGGAGGACCAGCAGGAGCAGAGGTCGCGAGGGCCTCATCGATCGAGGGCGCGTCGAATGTTTCGTTGTCTCTGAGCTTGTGAAATTGCTGTTCAGGAGACTAGCTAGAGGAGTTGATGAGCTGCCGCCATTGGAGGTGGTTTAGTAAGCTGGGCGGAGAGAGAGAGAGAGAGAGAGAGAGGAGGGGTAAGGGCATGCGAGAATCTTGAGAAGCTTCACAAGAAGATGGAGTGGAGGCTTGAGAGTGAAGCTGGGAGGTGGAAGATGATAGATTGTGTCAGGGGCGATCGAGGGGAATATGTTCGTTCGTTCGCTCGCTGTGGCATGGAGCCGGAGGGGGGTTTTTGTCTTTTGAGATATATATGGCGTGTGGGTGAAGGGTGTCTAGACTTGGCATTGCTCTGCTCTGCTCTGCTCTCTGGTTTCAGTGGTGCTAGTGTGATTCTCTCATCTCTTTCCTTTTGCTTTTCTTTGGGAAGAGGAGAGGGGAGGCAACAGTTGAAGGCTTTTTGTAGGCAAGGAAGCAGCCAGCCATGGCAAAAGAGATGGGATGTGTGTGGCAAGTGGCGTGCACTGTGCTAGGGAGTTTCTCTAGCTTTGAAATTCTCCAAGGACATGCATGCATGGTCCCTTTGGTATTTGTATTTTGGTTAGTTCAAATCTTTTGTGCTATTGGTTAACATAAGAGGGTATTTGGAGGGAAAAGGTTTGTTTGAATTATGATGATGGCATTGTCGCGCCCGACAGCAAAAGAGGAATGCACTCCGGTCTCCATCAACGAATGATTGTGTAGAGCACAACAAAACAAATGGATCGGGAGAGATCTGCTCTCCTGGTTTGTCGCTTTGCTAGGAGTTACGATGAAACCTTAGCCATGGCAATGGCATGGGTACAAATCAAACATTTCGAATCACACCTCGCAGATATCCTCTAGATTGGTTACTCGTTAGGTGAAGCAAAGAATAACTCTGAAACCCACAACTAAAAAAATGATACTCCATTCTTGAGGTCACAGAGAAAGAGATGGAGATGCTAAAGGTGAGTGATCTGAGTCACTGAGTGGGCAGGATAGGAAGGCAAGCAAGCAAGGGACAGGTTCCATATCACCCTGCCATCCATCCCCATGGCCACGACGAGGTGGTGGGAGGCAGGTGCAATTGCAGGCCAAGGCCACCAAGCCGATGCGAGCGCGGCCGGCCGCCCGGCTAAAACGGCGTTCAAAGGCGGCGGGCTCCGGCTGGCTGGGACACGGGACACCGGGGACAGGGGCCAGCAAAAGAAAGCAAAGGGGAGGTGAGGTGAGGTGAGATAAATAAAGCGGCCGGGGCGCGCCGGCTGCAAAAACATAAGGCCGCGCTTTACCGCTTTGCATGCAGCAGCGGCCCCGTCGTCCCTACTCCCTCCGGCGGCTCCAGTTCGGCAAAGCGATCGATGACGCGGGCGCGGCCAGCGGCGCCACCGGCACGGCACGGACCGCATCGCATGGCATGGCTCCGGCTGGCTCCCTCCGGTCACAAGGGTGGACGCAGCATGGATGGATGGCCGGACGGTGCATGATTGATGCGATGATCGGAGCGAGTTTAAAGGGAGATCGTCTTTGAGCCAAATGACTGACTTGAAGTTAAGCAACACAAACCAGCAGGCTATCTCTGCTCCAGTGCAGTGCTCCTACAGCACCGGCGTCCGGCAGGTGAGCAGGATCTTGATCGGTGCCGATTTGGAGGTGCTTTGCTGCGCCGCAAATTGTGTAGCACGAAAAGCAAACTGCCGGCAAGCTAGCTATCGCTGTATAAACAGTAAGTTAAGTTAATTTGAATGTCACCACGGAAGAAGCAAAATTTGTCGAGTGCCGCATGCTTTGCCGAGTGCCGAAAATAGGGCACTCGGCAAAGCCACTCTTTGTCGAGTGTTGCACTCGGCAAAGAAGTGCACTCGGCAAAGAGTGGCTTTGCCGAGTGCCGCAGCGTGCCCGGCGCTCGACAAAGCACGCCACTCGGCAAAGGCACTCTTTGCCGAGTGCAACACTCGGCAAAGAGCGCACTCGGCAAAATGCCCGTCAGTTGCCCGCCTACCCCGCCCACGCCGTTACCATCTTTTAAAAAAATGTTTACCGAGCGCTTAACCTGACACTCGGCAAAGAGAACATTTGCCGAGTGCTGTGGCCTGGCTCTCGGCAAAGGCCCTCTTTGCCGAGTGTCAGGCATGGCACTCGGCAAAGTATTTTTGTTTTTTTTAATTTTGATTTCAAAATTTTTTTGTAGACCTTATCTATTGTTTACAAGCACATGTTAAAATTTGGGACCTTTTTATAACCCTATCCTCATTCACGTCCCTCTCACCAGCTGCCACACACAAGACTGCCCATGCTGCCACATGCCACGCCGCCGGCGCCGCCCCCACCAGCACCACAGGCCTCCCCCCCCCCCGCCCCCACGCCGCCCCGGCCCCACACCGCCCCTCGGCGGCCGGCCCTGCCCCCGGTCCAGCCGGCCCTGCAGAGAGGAGGAGGAGCCCGGCCGTCCCTGCAGAGAGGAGGAGGAGGGGAGAAAGAGAAGGGGAGGAGGAGAAGGGAGGTGGGAGGAGAAGGAGAAGGGAGAAGGGAGGAGAAGGAGAAGGGAGGAGGAAGAAGGAGAAGGGAGGAGGAGGAGGAAGAAGAAGAAGGAGAAGGGAGGAAGGAGGAAGAAGAAGGAGGAGGAAGAAGAAGGAGAAGGGGGGAGGAGGAGACGGATCTCGGTCCGACGACCGTTCACGCTGTTCGTCGACGACGTTCGTCCACTCCGTCGTCCCCGCACATCGCCGTTCGTCCACGCCGTCGTCCCCGTCCCTCGCCGGAGAAAAGGTAAGGCTCCTGGGGTGTCGGCCTTGGTGCCGTTTATGTGTTGACGGCCTTCGTGCCGGGTTTGTGTATGTGTGGGCCATCATGCCCCAAATGTCGACGTCGGCCATCATATCGGCTTTTTCTTGCAGGTTTTGGAAACCTCCCCGTACAGGGGAGGTTATGCTGAATTTTTCAAGTAATAGTGATGTGTTTCTTCTTTTGTAGAGCAGGAGCTGTCGGAGGGGACCCGGAGCACCTCGGCGATCTCGATCGTCTTCGTCGGCGCTGCGGTCGTGCTTGCACTACTTCGTCTCGCCACTGCACCGACTCGCCACTGCGCTGCTAGCCTTTCTCCACCGCCACCCTAGGTATAATTGACCTCTCTTGCTTACAGTTGTCGTACGTAACCCAGTTAGGCGTCTCCCGTCCAAAACAGATACGGTTGGAGGTATGCGGATCTTTGCATATCTATGACCGTATCTGTTTTGAATTGTCCACGTTTTTTGGACAGCCCGCGAATGCGTAGATGAGTTAGTTTCCATGTTCTGCTCGGATTCGAGACGGAGTTTCGGCACCACCTCCCTGTTGTTAACCGGATACACACTCTCCCTTCCAGGATGTGTATCGGGAGAACAGCGGGGAGGTGCTGCCGAAATTCTGTCTCGGATCAGAGTAGAGCATGGAAACTAACCTCATCTACGCATCCGCGGGTGGGAATAAGACCTATCCTCACCTATTAGACAGTAGGCACGCCGTACAGATGCAACTGATGGTTATATTACTCCATTATGTGTATATGATATTGCTCCGTTATGTGTATATGCTAGAGGATGGAGAACCGTGAGTGGATGTACATGGGATGCCCAAGTCAGGCTCAAATCACCCGTGAATGGATGGATAAGACCGAGAAATTATTGGACCATGCATTTAAGGAAGCTAAGGGAGCGAGAGACACGTTCTGTCCCTGCAGCGATTGTGAAAACAAGAAAAGAAAAACAAGGGAAGTCATGATGAAGCATCTTTGCAAGTTTGGATTTATGCCAAACTATACCCGGTGGGTGTACCATGGTGAAGCCTATCGTCCTAGAGAGGAGGTCGTGAGACGACGCTTGGAGGCATTTGATGGTGATGGCGGGGTAGAAGGATGGTTAGGTGACTATGAGGATGCGATGTTCGCTGAAAGACCTCTGGAGGTCGAGCAGGAGGATGAGGAGGAGGAGCCAGAGCCAAGCGCTAAGGCGTTCTTGGCCATGTTGGAATCGGCACAGAAGTTCCTACATGAGAAGACAACGGTTTCTCAACTGGATGCCATTGGGCACCTACTAGGGTTGAAGTCCCAGCACAACATGACTCGAGCCTGCTTCGATGCTATGATGGCAATTATTGGGGATTTGCTTCCGGAGGGTCATCATCTGCCGAGCAGCTCGTACGAGTCAACGAGACTCCTTCGGGCACTGAAGATGCCGTATGAGCAGATACATTGTTGTCCGAAGGGGTGCGTCCTATTTAGGATAGATCCCAAGGATGCAAAGTACTGTCCAAAGTGTAAATCCTCTAGGTATGTGGAGGTAGACAAAGGTGATGGCAAGAAGGAGCAGAATGAGGGGATCCCTATGAAAGTCCTACGATACCTTCCGATCATACCGAGGCTCCAACGGCTATTCATGTCCGAGGAGTCCGCGAAACAGATGACATGGCACAAGAATGGCGTTTGATACAATCCTGACAAGATGGTACATCCAGCAGATGGTGAAGCATGGAAAAGCTTTAATGGCAACCATCGTGGCAAAGATGAAGAGGCCCGTAATGTACGTATTGCACTGGCAATGGATGGGTTCAATCCTTATGGAATGATGTCGACCCCATACATTTGTTGGCCCGTGTTTGCTATCCCCCTCAATCTCCCCCCCCCCCGGGGCCCTACTTCAACGGCAAAACATATTCTTGACGTTGATAATTCCTGGACACCCAGAAAACAAAATGGGTGTGTACATGGAGCCGGTTTATGATGAATTGATCAAGGTTTGGAATGAAGGCATATGGACTTACGACCGAGCTACAAAGAAGAACTTCAAAATGTATGTTTGGTACTTGTACTCCATGCATGACTTCCTAGAGTATGGGATATTCGCCAGCTGGTGTGTCCACGTGAAGTTTCCATGCCCGGTATGCAAGGCAGCTCTACAGTTCATTTGGTTGAAGAAGGGTGGCAAGTTCTCGT